TCCCATTCCCCCAAGAGGAAAGTGGTCCTTTAGCCAGTTTGGTAAAGAGGACAGCACCCACTGTGTTCTGTGATGTAAGCACCAATGATCAATGAGGACGACTGCAAGACTTCTAGCTGGGGACTGGAGAGCAGTGACTGCTCTTTCAGGGACCTGAGTTAGGTTTCCAGCACCCACGTGGTGGCTCACAATCATTGTAACTACAGTTCCAGGGATCTTGGTGCCCTCTTCTAGCTTCTGTGGGCTGTGTGTGTACACATCTTGCTCTGAAAAAACTCAGACTACAACCTTGGGTAGCAGAACCCCAAGTGCAGTCTACACACCCAATAGTACCCCTGGCTGATGGCCTGTGTTGCAGCCTGGATCTCAGAAGATACCCGATTCTGACCTGGTCCAGAGGATGAGAATCCTGTTGACATCCTTCACAAGAAGTGTGTGGATGAGGGTGTGCTCCTTTGAGGCGTGGTCTCCCATGATCTCAGAGACAGGGTCACCAGTGTTTAAGAAAGGAGAACTGTCTGGGTGGTGATGGTGGCAGTGGACACCTTCAGTCCCAGCATGGGGAGGCAGAGCAGGTGGATCTCTGTGAGTTGGAGGCCAGCCTGGTATACAGAGTGAGTTCCAGGGCAGGCTCCAAAGCGATGGGAGGGGAGCGGAGCTGAAGATGGACTGCAGCTCTCAGGACTGAAACCAATCAAAGAGGCCACCATGTGTGGTGACTGTCCTAGTAACCAGGTAGAGAATGGCACTAGGATCAATAGGTCACAATGTTCACAGGTTATAGGAACTCCAACACTAAGAATTTCAGCAATGCGATGACACCATGTACCTGTGTAATGATGGCATACCTGCGAGCTGGCACCTCCACTGAGGGCACCAAGAACCACACATACCTGGGCCACTTGTTCTGTTGGGTTTTACATTAGTTACCTTTCTCATGATTCTGCCAAAACACCTGTCAAGGAGCAACAGGGGTCAGCTCATTTGTTGGGGAAGGCCAGTAGGAGGATGGGAAGTCACAGCTCATCCACTGTCAGTGTAAAACTCTGGGATAACTCTCAAGCCATCTCTGACAATTCTGAGGCCATTTCTGAACCCTCTCAGCCTCCATGCCTTAGTGCTGCCCCCCTCCCCTGGGAATCAAGGACCTAACAGCTATGCATGCACATACTGAAATGTTGGGAACTTTCCATCTCCCTGAGTCCTTGTGAGTGTTCTCCAAGTAGAGCTCTGGGACAAGATAACCCACAGATGTTTTGACTCAGTCCCTGGGAGAGGGGCAAAGTGACCCTCAGATGTTTCCTTTTACCTCTTCTGATCTGGCAACCACTCTCCAGCCAATTATTGGTAATTGCCCTTTGAATAAGCCAATCATAATAGTTAAAGAACAACCCCTAGACTCCCTCTTTTTTTTCTGTGGCTTTTTACTTTAAAAGTAGCCTGTACCAGCCATTTGGGGTCTTTGTGGCTTCTCAAATGCTGAAAGACTCTGTCATGACAGAATTAATAAATTAATAATCATGCTTTTACATCAACTGTGGTGTGAGAGATGGTCTCTTGGAGCAACTACTCCTGGTAGTTGGACTTCAGGGTCCAACATTAGGAATCAGAGAAAAGTGAATGTCCATGCCCCTCTTGTCTTTGTTTTTCCTGTTGGGAACCTCAGCCCCTTTAAGGTCTTCCCACCTCAATCTAATCTAGAAAGCCTCTCACAAATATGTCCAGAGATGTGTCTCCAAATTGACCATCAACATAAAATGTCTCAAGCCTACCAAAACCAAGCCACCCCTTATCCCTGCTTTGAGTGGATCTGGAGATCCAGGTGCCCCATGAGGCTGATGCAACCACCTCCATGCGGAGGCCCTGGAAATTCATTTCTCTAACAAGAGAGATGAACACAATACCACCTGTTCACATCCTTGTAGAGATGATAGTGTTTTTCAGTGTTTTATATGTCACCTAGGATTGGTCAGTAAGGATTTCCCTAAAATTGTCAAAACATTGGTATATAGACAACAAAGTCAGAAATACACACAGAAAGGGAGGTAAGATGTGAGGTAATAGGAGAGATATAGAAAGAGATGCAAAAGAAACACAGAGAAAAGGACACATGACCAAGGTGTAGACAGAGAAAAATGGAGAGAGAAGGCTCTGTTCAGTGAGACAGGCAGGAGGAACAAGAGACAGAGATGGAGAGACACAGGGACACAGGGACCAGGAGATGCAGTGAAGATAGGGCAGATGGCGGTGACACCGAGGAGAGACGACTTTCATCAGTCACAGGTACCCAGTCACTGCTGACCAACAACACCCCGCCTCCTTACAACATCAACACAATAGGGTTAAGTTGGGTGGTTATCATTTGCAACCACAAAAATATTTTAATCTCTAAAAAATGAAAGTGTGCTTTAACCAGTGTGACTTCACAGGACACATTTGGAATAACAGTGATGAGAGGTCACTGATGTGGGAGTGTCATATCAATCTGTTGATTTCATTGGCTGAGCAATAAAGAAACTGCTTGGCTGGCCCTGATAGGTTAAAGCATAGGTGGGAGGAGTAAACAAAATAGAATTCTGGGAGGAAGAGGAAGTGAGGTCAGACTCTGTTCTGCTTCCGGAGAGACCCAACAGCTCTGCTCTCTGGAGCAGAGACGCCATGCTCAGCTCTCCCAGGCAACTCCGACCCAGGATGGATGTAGGCTAGAATCTTCCCGGTAAGCGCACCTTGGGGTGCTTACACACATCATTAGAAATGGGCTAGTCCAGGTGCGAGAATTAGCCTGTAAGGGCTAGAGTTCATGGGTCAAGCAGTTCTTAAATGAACACAGTTTGTGTGTTGTTATTTCGGGCATGAGCTAGCCAAGCAGCTGGGGTGTTGGGGACGCAGCCCCGCTGCTCCTATTACAACAGGTCACAGCATCCATCCCCAACAATTCCACCAGGTTTAGTTGCACTGTCCTCACCAACATGAAGGAGGCTGTGGTGGTGTGAGAACAGGACACTGAAGAGCAAAAGAACCAACTATGAAGATATGACAGCAGGTGTCTGTCTCCTCAGCCCACCCTTACATGGAGCCCAGGATGTTTCCCATCACCTTCATGATAGAAGCCACCACTTCCAGCCACAATTTGGCTGGGCCACCTTGCCCCGCATCACTCCCACTCAGCCCCGTCAGTTAAGGAGATTCAGGATACATAATTCAGAACATGTTTAATTATGAAAAAGGTGAATGTTTTCAACATCTCTTCAGCAGCCCCATGGGACAGTGGAAACAGAAGGCCTGGGGTCTGGGTAGATGGTGCTGCAGTATACAGATAGAGTCTCTAGAATCAGTCCAGGAGCAGAGGCAAAGACAGAGCCTTGGGGAGTCAGGGATCACAAAGGCTGAACTGGTGGGTATACTGGAACCATGCTAGACTCTGAATCAGAGAGGGACAGGCAGGCTGGCACAGACAGGAACTGAGGACAGGGACAAGCTTTATAGTGTGACAGTCAACTCAGCCAGAACACCAGGAATCACTGTAGAAGCCCTGCGAAGACAGATAAAGGGAGTGGTCACAAAAGGTCCCCTGGAGATGCCTGACTCTCCTCCTGGATTCTGTTGAGTTAGACAAAGAAAGCTGTGTCCAGGCCATGGCATCATCTTCCCATCAACTCTGCAGAGCTGAAAACAGCTAAAGGGGGCACAGAGCTCACAGGACACAAACATATGGGAGGTAGAAGAGAAGCCATTACCCCCAGAATACATGAAGGATCTGATCTTTTTGGTAAGTTGGAGGGATTGTCTCCTCTGCAGGACTTTTGGTCTCTGCCGCTATCAATATCAGTCTCCAGTGTGGGGCACAAAGCAGGCAACATCTTAGTGCCTAAACTCAAGGCATGGCTCAGGCTCCACTCAAGACACCACTCAAGTGATGGTGGCAAAGTTTTGCTTGGGGACAACCTCTGGAGTGTTGTATAGACACTGATTATGACACTCTCAACCCCACAGCAGAGACAGGCTATGAATCAGGACTCTGTCAGGTACAACATCTCATGCCCTTTCCTTGCACGCACACAACCATGCCCCTTTCAGATAAAGGCTGAAATATTATTACCTGCTGGAGGAGGCCCTCGAGGTCCTACAAAAGGAAGTCACAGAGAAAGGTCTTGTTATAAAAGCAGGGACTCTCTTACTCAGACCAGGGACAATAGGATGTGTGGCTTAGCTGAAGCTGTTCTCTCATCATGAGTTCACTAAGACCCTGAGCATCCCCGCCCCTGGCAAAATGGATGAAGCTGCCACCAGAAGGAGAGAAAGCAAGGCTCAAGCTCTCTCAGCAGTCAAAGCATCCAGAAAAGAGGCAATGAGAGTGGACAGTGGTGGACAATGATGGAAGCCCCAAGATGAACTCCACCACAACTCTATGGTACAGTCACACAACCAGTAAAATCTAATTCCAGTATCTCCCCCAGGGTCTCCTGTGTCCTCCCAACTCAGCTCCTCCCCTCAGCACAGCCCACTACCATCCCCAGTTTCCCCCAGGGTCCTCACCTTTCTGATTTCTGTGACGGACGAAAAGGCCCAGCCCGAGGAAGATGAGCCCCAGCACAAAGCCCCCAATGCCGCTCAGCATCTTGCTCTGGGCAGACTCAGACTGTGCCCCTGGGGAGCAGAACCTGGGTGTCAGCTTTGTCCCCACACATCCCAACAGCCCTGACTGAGAACCTAAAGTCTGCCTGAGTTGTAAGAGGTGAAGGAGCTGGGAGGACCCGGTCTCTGCTCTGACCCTATCCAGGGCAAGGAAGGGACAGAAGAGAGATCTAGAACTCAGCACTGAGGGGAGGAAGGGGCAGGGGTGGCCAGCACAGCGCTGAGAGCTGTTTGCACCTAAAAACATTTATAAT